ATTTGACATTTTGACCTGTAATATTTATTAATGGTACCTATTTATAAGCTTTTTCACCTTTTTAAAACATCGTTTCTTAGCGGATATCCCGATTAAATTTTTTCCAAACCTGACACATTTGAATAGTTGTCCGTTCCTTTGATTGCAGCATTCACTTGAATAAGATTCAAATTGGGTATGCACTTAAAAAATAATACACTCTCGTTGTAGTTAAATACATCGCAGGATAATATTCTTTTGTAATACACTGAAATACTGAATAATATAATATAACTCTCTCTTTGCGTTTGTTTTTTTGAATTCTTGAATGAAAATGTCATCGACAGACATTAGATAATGACATTCAAATAAATGACGACGTTTACAAATCATTGTCTGTTTTAATTCGTTACATGCGTGTTATATGCACGTGGTATATTATATATATTTACGCCTTTAGAGCATTATTGTTTGAGGGTTGTACGCCATTTGAAACTGTATTTTATTGAAATCATTCACGCAAAATTCATTTTTAAGTTAATAATTAATTAATTAAAATACAATTATATTACGTCCAAATAAATTAATAAGCTGATTTAAATATTATTATTTAATAATATTTAAACCAAGTGCTTATGAGAAAAAATAACAGAACATTAATTTAAAAAAAAAACATTCTTACGTACAAATTACTATTAATATTAACAAAACATTTACCTGTGACAAATTAAACTATGCAAAAAGTTATTGGTTTGTGTAAATTGATATATTTTTTCAAAAGAAACTTATTGCTGAATAAATTTATTTAATCGTTATACTTACTAAAATCTACAGTTAACTTTTTATACATCAAAGATACGTTGTTTAAATTTTAATACGAATTTAGACGTCATCGAGAGCTCTGGATCACTTTAGGAAGGTTGGGGGGCACAGAATTTAAACATTTATTGACACTATTATTTAAATTAAATAATCAATTCATTTCTATGCCAGTTCGCATTAAACACTTTTTTAAAGTTAATTAAAAATATTCTACCTATGTATATTATTATTTTTTAATTACGGTTACCTAACGGTGATTCGAGTATACCACTCCTTACCACATAATCAATATCGTGATTGTGTTAACATTGTGCGGTTGTGGTGATGACTATCGAAGTAATATTATTTTATTATGTGTGTACGAATATCCGCGTGTGTGTCGGTGTGTGTAATTTAAATTTATACAAACATAATATTTTTATAAGTTAGAATTCCACTAATCAAACATGTAGTTCTGAGAAAGGGGATGATTTGGTTTTAAATTGAGACAGCGGCACCATCTGAGAGAATAAGGGTGCATTTATTAAGTAATAATACTATAACGATTAAATTAATGTATACAAATTACTTGTTATAAATTAATTTAAAATAGATTACGCTTTGTTTATGGAAGCACCGCCATATTGTGCCTAAGGATATAAAATGATTATACATAAATATTTTTTTTAATTTAAACTGATTGATATACAATATACCTATATTATATTATGTGATATGCGAGCGTGGATAATAATTCTGAATCAGTCTTTAAAGGTAGATAAAAATAAATTAATACAATATATGATATTTGTTTGATAAAAATGTTTTAACCGTTATGAAAATTCAAGTTACTATATAAGTTCTATAACGTACTGTATTCATGGTATATTTTTAGGTCCTTTAAAAGGAAATGCAATATTGAATTATAGTCTCCGGTGCTCTAGAGACAATAATATTATTGCAATATGCCAAAGTAAATAACATTTTATTAAATAAACAAAATACGAACATTATATTAATATACATATTATTTATTGTAAAATAATGTATTATGGCCTGTACAGTAATAACCGCATAACAATATTAATATAATAAATATAATAATAATAATTATGGTTTAATATAATATATAATGATATCGTCTATGTATTGATATTAGATATACGATACCGTTTAACACGTTTTGCAAGGTGTTTATTTTTTCTGACATACATAATATTAATAATATTATATAAACGTTGTACTTAACGTTACCTACTTTGTTATGCAACAGAATATGAAACTAGACGGTTGTTATTATGTAAGGTACTTCAAAAGGAAGTTGCCGAACAATGAAACTGTAAATTCAATCTGACCTTACATTAGGATCACGGATATATCTTTTATTGGTGTTTGGTTATTAATTATTATCCATACGAAATAGTTGACAGATAATATGAGTCGAATGACACCAGGCGGCCCTAAGGCTCGGTGTCAATGTAACTAATTCAAAACGTGTACAACGTGCATTTTCGTATTGAAAAGCGCATACTTACCTATATATGATATAATTTAATGTTTAAACTGCACAAGTGCAGAGTTTGCACTATCAGTTAAAAACTAAAACTCGCTCATTGCTATCGTTTCGAGGACCGACAGAGCAATGTGTGTGTGTGGTTTCACTATTTGCGCATAAAAAGTTGAAATTTTTTTAACTACCTGTAACTCGTGACCTTAAACCTAATGTTTTATTGTACTCTACCAGATACCATTGGGATTCGAAGACGTTTTTGTTAGGCGGTTCACGTGAAATTTTCTACGGTTACGCGGTCTTCTGACGTTTTATGTAATATTTTATACTCTCACTCTCGGTGTTCTGTCTGTAATTTGATGACCCATCATATGTTTACTTCTAATGGCATTTTTCAAAACATCAATCCTCAATCGCTAATTAGTTCGAAAAACTACGTTTTGAACTGGCTGGCCGTTATCTTCTGACCACTTTAAACCTAGCGATTTCGTTTCGTTAAAAAATACTGAACTTTGTGTGTGGCTCAAAAATATTGTCAAACATGGTTAAGACGTATAATGACGTACAATTGAGTATACGTTTGTATATCGCTCATTATATAGCATAAATTATAATAATACGAACACTAAAATATGTACGCACCCAAAACGAAATTATAACGGCATTCAATGTTATAAAATTAAAATATTTAAAGATTTATAAGTATTATAAATTATACAATAAATTCCAATTAAAACGATTTTCGAAGTGATTTAAAGAAAATTGATCGCTGTGCACTATATTGTATTTTTCTAAAATACTAAATATTACAGACAGCCAAACAACATCACATGTAGTTGTGATAACAGCTGCAGTTGGTATAGTATTGCAACGTGTAAAAGGTACCTAGTGAAATAATTAATACTTCTCAATTTGAATCCCACGATAGCGTCGTGATTTAATAACAATATTTATGATGTTAAATTTCAATGTCTTCGAGAATGTAATAATGTGTTGCTCATTGTATAATATTGTTCTTTTACAGTAGGTACGTCTGTTATTTGAATTACAATTGAACCCATTCATTACAGACGATTGGTTTGTAGTTTTAAATGAACATTAATGTATGTATTAATAATAAATAACTCAGACAGTAAGACACGACGGAACATTGTAAAAACTAAAAATAGCACCAATAAAGAGATGAATTTGCCATTTGTAATTTTGTTTTTATTGGACGAGATATATTCGCGAGCGCTCCACTTCCAAAATAAAAATTGCCGTCGATTTAAAAATTGTGTTTCTGCTATTGGCATCGTGGACGATCAAAACAACTACTTTCTTAAAAAAAAAACACACACACACACACACACACACACATCATGATATGATAATAAATTATGATCTACCTATAAGGACAACTCGGATGAAATATGTTGTTCCGAGTGTTCCGACATTCGACATTTTACAACAATAATACTATTGTTATTTTACCTACGCGTGTGCGCATTGAGGTAAGCACCTGCCTGCACTATTGGTATTCAAGTGCACACAACATATTAATATTATCGTGGTGCTACGTCACTGTGATTTTACCACTACCATTGAGAAGAAAAAACCAAATCATCAACACCCCAGCGGTCCGTGAACCGTTCGTCGCCGTGTAACATGTTTTTATCGTGAAATTTATCGTCCACGCAGTGCCCGCTTAGCCGCTGTTCGTTCATGGTGCTCCGATATAATTCGTTGAGCACCCATAATAATAATTATACTATATATTATTATTATATAGTTCGATTCGGATGCGTTTCAATAATAGACACGAGACCCCCATCGGCATCGATTTTTAAATAGTTCCAATCGCGACGTTTTAGGTTACACGTATACCTCCATAGGTGTCTTATAGAGCGCATTATCACCGTTATTCGAATGTAATAGACGATAAACCTCGTCCGAACGAACGCGTACACAGGCTCGACGGCGACGTTTGCTGGTTCGTGGATTATAAGGATTTGATAACAGAACGTGAAAGGTACGTGGAGTTTATTCAAAAATTTTATTTTTTATTTTTTTTTTTGCGCAATACAGTGTGAATGGGAACGAGGTTTTAAATTTTAATACAAATGAAAAAAAAATCGAATTTTTACGTGACAAGAAATTCAATCTGCACCGTTAAGTAGAAAATATATTATTTTGAATATCCTGCAGTAATTACGCGGATACATTTTTATTTTTAATAACGTCAGTACCTATATAACTAAGCCAGTTTGTCGTTGATACTTCAAATTTGAATATCTCAAATAACAAAAACACATTTTTATAACAGCCCTTCTTACGAATGTCTTTAAAATTATTTTTAATCGTGTCATTTTGAAACTATAGAAAGTAATTTTCTTTAATAACTCAACAATAACTTAACACAAGAGATGAAAATAACTTTGCTTTTTAGTTTACCTATGGTACACACTATACATAAATCAGTGCCGCAACTTAGTTATTTAGGGCCCCAGGGCAAATTTAATTTCGGGCCCTATATTTATAGGGGGTACATAATATTATAAAATGCTGCTATACATTTTTTTTTTGGATAAAATTAAAAGGCATGATAAATGATTATTATTTTGTATATCTATTTTATTCTATGTTTCTGTGGAAATATTATCTGTATTTATATAATTTATTTTATATATTTAAATAATTTTAATAAACTTAACAATACATTAATTCATACTTAATCAAATTTCATTTTTATTGCTTTCATATTTGAAAAATTTGTTAATATTTTGTCCATATCAATTTCTTTTGTACGAAGCTGTTCAATATTTAAAATTGAAATATTGGACAGTCGTTCTTGTCCAATTGAATTTCTTAAATAGCTTTTTATTATCTTAAGTTTTGAAAAAGACCTTTCTGCTGTTGCAACCGTTACTGGCAATGTCAAATAAATTATACATGCTCCTAATATATCAGAGTAACTCGTGGCAAAATCGTTTTCGAGAATAAATGAAGCCAGTGCTTGGAAACTATTCAAATTTTTATTATTTATAATTTCTTTGATTGATAGCAGTTGACTCGTTAAATCAGAACTTATATCTGTTTGATACATTTGTATAAAGTCATATGATCCTTTAATAGTAATTTCATCTGGTCCTAATAGTGTTTGAGGTTTCAAAAAATTGAAAATGGTACAAACGTTATGTAAACCTTTAAAGCGATCTTTATGTTGACATATTATTGTGTCAAAAATTGGTAAAAATACTTTTATTTTAAAATTATCGTATGTGATATTCAACCGTCTGTCGCCATCTATTACATCAAAAAACAATCTTGCTTTTTTTTGGTGAGCCACTTTGTCATCAGTTGGAATACCCCATTTAATTGCCAGGTTGCTTGCATTTTCAACTACACTACAATAGTCATTCCTTAGTTGCTGCATACATGTATAGGCATCAGTCAATCTATCTAATGCTTTCTGGAGGTCAATGTCTTGCTTCTGCAAAAGTTTAGAGATACCATGCAAAGGGCTCAATACTCGTGCCCACAAACATAACATAAGTAAAAATACAAAAGATTCTATTTTTTTTTTAATTGAAATTGCCATATGTTTTTCATCTACTTTATTACTTGATAAACTCATGTATGTTAATGATTTTATAACTCCTATATACCTTTGTTTTAATGCAGATACTGATGAATGCCTCCCAGCGAGTAGGACAAACTTTTTTTAATACTTTAAGTCTAATTGTTTTGGAAGTGTCATCACCAAATGCAAAATATTATGCCCATATAGTACAACTAGAACTATAAAAATTGAATATAGTTTGTAATATTGTAAAAAAGTTAGTTGCAACTTTCGTCAATTTTGCTGCATCACAAATCATCAAGTTAAAGTTATGTGCGCAGCAGTGTACATAATTTGAATTCGACACAGTAGTCAGTAGAAGATATTCTTTGTTGCACTCCTGAATAAGCTCCACTCATTACTGCTGCACCATCATAACCCTGCAGGCCTCGACAATTTTGGATGCCTAAATTGTATTTTTTCAACACGTCATAAATAAGATTTTCATACCTAGTCCTTTGAGCCATGGTTCTCTAATTCAAAAAACCCAAAAAAAGATTCTTTTACTTCAAATGATTTTGTTTCGTAGTTTAAAATAACATAGCGTAGTATACCTAACACTCAATTGATCAATTTTTGTAATATCTTGTGTCGAATCTACTATTATTGAATAATATTTAGATATTTTTACTTCGTTTGCTAATATATTTAATACTTCTGAGGATAATAAATGAATGAATGAATTTTTTTATATTTATAAAATTTATATTATAAATGTGAAATAATTTAATATACATAGAGCCATAGAGGCATAAGCTATAAATTTTATTGGTGAATTATTATTTTGTATGTAGGTTCCTAAATGTAAACGAAAGAGATATTTTTATTCTATTTTTATTTTTCACTTTTGTGGTGCTTACTTTGGTTTATAAGACAAACTAAGTATTCAATGTAGCCAACGCCAAGATGATCGGTGATTTTTTCATCATTAATCTTTTATCACAGAATAAATCTATGAAATTAAATTGACTTGCCGCCAAAGACCTTATACTACTACGGCCATAGATTGTACTATATACTATCTTTAATCTTGCTTATACCATAGACTTTTACCGCATTATTACTAATCGATTATGAACTCCTTAATATTTAATATTTAAAATAATTCCATTCAAAATACATTTTTACAAAATCAAAAACCAGGAAAAATAATAATAGTATCCATCCATTATGGGCCCCCTTTGAAAAATACATTTGGGCCCTTTGGCAGGGCTTTGCCCTGCTTGCCCTGGTGGTAGTTGCGGCACTGACATAAATGCATTACTTTAGAAAAATACAAAATTCATGTGGTTTTATTTCCATCTTGAACTGTTGATTATGACGATAAGGTATAATACAGCCGATATAGACAATATAGCATTTGAGAAATACACGTTTTTATTTTCATATAAGAAAAACTTTATACTTCAAGAATAATGTAGATTTAAGATATGATAAATAGTTATTACCAGAGAATTTCACAAACGTTATTATAGTTATGCTTATACTTCATATTGTTTTGTATCAAAAGACACATGTTGATATTCGAAGTTTTGTTGTTAAGTTTTTTACATAAACATGTGTGTTATGTGTAACACGTGTCAAAAATAAAACATAAGTAAATTAGAAAATACTTCTAAGGCTAGTGGAAATTTTAGTGTTATAATAAATAAATTATAAAATAAAAATATCTTAAGAACCATCTAGCATAAAATAAAATTTGACTACGTGTGAATTATTATTTTAATCGTGAAATTAAAACATTCGTTTTTTCAGTTCTATAGGTACTCTCTGGCCATAATATGTAGAAATATAAGTATTATATTATTATCTATGTGGGTATGTATGTATTTATTCTAAGCATTAATTTAATCAAAGCTTCTTGATGAAAGATTGTTCATTTTTGATTTTAGTAACTTCTACATAATTTGTATATTAAAATAATATAGCCTATATAGGTAGGTACTATGGCATACAACAATAGTTTAGAGGTATTATTTTCGCTCTAAATTGAACATTAATAAGTGTACCGTTTTATATTAATTAGTACTCTATATTATCTATTGATATCGATGATAATTAATATAAAATGCCGTCTTTGATAATTTTTTGCAACTTTATGATGAATAGGTTGAACAATATTGTCGAAAATATGATAATGATTGTTAATATATAGCTGAGACCAATTCATAATTTGTATTATATACCTACATTTTTTTTTATTATCAGTATGATTTATTATAACTATTGTAATATATATTTTTCGATTTTCGTGCCATTATTCGACGTGTGACCTTCAGTTATAATTTTTTTGTAGGTATTTTATATTAATCTTATTTATTTATTTATTCCCTCTTTTTCAAAACATTTAAAATATCGATTGTCATTTATTCAAGACGACCATTATTATTTAGCCATACTGTTTTTTTTTTTTTTTACCCTAAATAGGTAAGTACTTATTATAGAACTTTAAATTCAATATCTCCATATCGTATTATTATTTAATAATTTACCCTTGTATTTTATGTAGGTAAGCCCATTCCATTTTAGATAGTGGAGCAAAGAATGTACTATTGTGCTATTGTTTGCACTAGTTGTTTTTCTCCCTATATTTTATTTATTTTTCAAAATTGTTCTTCTTATTATTATTTTTTCATTCATACAAAAACGTATTTTGTTGATCTTAATTTTTTCTTACTCTCCTTAATGTTTTTTTAGCTTAGCTCATCCGATATATATTATATGCATTATTCAAACTTGTTTTATCCACTGTACCCTATTCGACAATAGGTATACCTGGATGATTTATATCACGATCTTCTTACAAGTAAATCTGCGTTATATTGTTAAAAATAATACTTTTATCTTCTTATATAAATATATTATAATAATATTATGGTTTAATAATATAATATATATATATACAAGGGATATTTTTTTAAAAATTGTTTTTCTTTTGTTATATTTATTATACCTACCTACTGTATAGTTTTTCTTGTCATGTTTTTATGATACAATTATATGTTATATTATTTAATTTAACCTATACATAAAATGTTTATATTATTAGTATTTTGATTTTCGATATAATAATTGATAATACTGAATAAATAGGCATACTGATATACTACAATACTAAATGCACAATAATGTATACATATAATATAATACCTATTATAGTATTCGTAATTCGTGTATAATAGGGAAATTATATTCTCTGTAACTAGTGGATTCAATATGTTATTAATATAATGTAGAGTAAATTAATAAGATAGCTATTCAGTATTTTACGAGCTAATACAAAATTGATATAAAGCAGAATTTACTGCAATAATAATGAATAAAAATTATTCGTTAGATAATTCACAATTATTTATCTGAGCTGTGCATGGAATTATCCAGTTTTATATTTAGTACAGCATTTTGAACAATTTATTAAAATCGTACATACTATATTTATATACATTATTGTTCAAAATTTCTAAATATTTAATTGAATGGCTTGTCAACATAAGTATTATTATTTATTATTAAGTAGGTATAACAAATAATAAGAACATCATTATTCATTTCCTATACTTAATGTAAATACCAAAATAATTCAAGTTAGTATTTTTGTAGGATTTTGAAATGATTAACTAAAGTCAATGTCCTTGACTGCAATTTATTTATTAATAATAGTTAATTCTGGGAACTTTAAATAATCACATCAAAATAACTAGGTATCATACTTTGTAAGTATAAGTAGGTATTTTTTTTTGCAATTTGACCAAATAATTTTTAGCATAATAGGCTAACTTCATGAATATATTATTTTTTTTCAGAATTACAACTTATAAGTTTTAGTTAGTTATAATAATTCTAACCAATTATTTATAATTTTAGATTCTTAGCTAACTAAGAGATAAATAGTATAGCTAACTCGATAACTAGTCGAAATAATGCTTCGATTTTCAACTTAAGTATCTATTGTTCGATGGGAAAATGAAGATATTAGTTGGTGCATTAAAGAGGTCAAAATTTAATATTACCAGTAATTTTCAAAAGCACTGGGGAAAACAATAAAAAAAATAATTAAGAAAAAACTTTAATTTTTACTCAAAATCGGTTTTTGACAAAAATGATTTTGGTTGTTTGCATAACTTTAAAACAAATGACCGTAGATACATGACATTTTTACTGAATATTTATATTAGCATTTGTTATACACCATAAAATATTCAAAATATTTTGAATTGTTTTGAGCTATTTACAGACATTTTTAGTTTCTATGTTTTTTGTCTAAAGATATCATTAAAATTTTATTCGTTGGGTCAAAAAGCTTGAAAATTTAGTACAAGACTTATAATTTATTATTACAATGGCAATTGAAAAAAACAAAAAAAAAATAGTCACAATTTTTTTTTTATAAGCATTTAAGTTCAGACTGCCAAAATATGTGAAAATCACAAAAATGTGAAAATTATTTTGAGTTATAAATTCATAAAAAAATTTCTTTTTTAATCTTACATTTTAAAATTTAATACAAGATTCCTCATAAGATTGTCTACCTTTAATAAAAAAATTTCTACTGAAATGTCAAATTAAATTTTTAATGGGTTCGAAGTTTACATTTTTACAATATTGGATATTGGATACTCAATTTCTCATGTAGTGATTTTCTTATTTTGCTGTAATTCAAAAACGAATAAATGTAAATACTGAATACTGTGTTGACTGAATGCTTATATTTTCAAATTCACTTGTAAAGTTGTAACCTAATGTACAGAAGAGCGACACCACCCATTTGTCCGTCTTTTTTTGATTTTGATTCGTTATTTTATTTGATTCAATCAACTCCATTTTTCGCACACCTTATAGGTATTTACTATAGGTATTTTAGATAAATAAATATTTATTAAAGTACAGTTAATTTCAGTACGTTACAGCCTTGATTTTAACACGATTTCTTAGGATAATTTAATGATATGTGAAAGCAAATAATTATTGTTTCAATGTATTTGATCTAGTAAGTATTATGTATGAATTGGAAGTTA